ACACCGCACGACCGCGCTGCGGGAGGCGGCGGAGGAGCACAGGGTGAGGGGCCGGGCTGGGGCCGGACGGCGGGCGACAGCCACCGGGGAGGGCGGGAGGCCGGCGGGGAGGGAACGGGGGTCTGGCAGGTGGGGGTCGGGGTGGGAGGATGGGTGAGGACCCCGCGGCGGACCAGCGGTGGGCAGCCAGCGGCAGGGGCGAGGGGCTGCGGAGAAGGGTCCCGTGGGGGCGGCCCACCGCGTGCGGGGCGCGGGGACCTGGATGGGAGCTGGAGCTGGGCCCCTCCCCGGACAGGAGAGCGAGCAAGGGGAAAAGGATGGAAGGGGAGCGGCGGGTCTGTTCCGCGGAGAGCGGGGTCTGCACAAGCTTCTAGCAGAGCCTGGTGTTCGGGTATCTGGCCCTGAAGGGCTTCCGCGAACTAGAATTCTTCCGTCCTACTAGTGCACCTCAGGTGCTCTGAAAGCCCCTGGGGCCCCAAGACCACAAAGGAGGCCAAAGCCCTCTCTCCTGACACTGTTAACCCAAGAACTACGCCCTGCTGTGATAAATTGCGCATGTCGGCTTTGTTAGAAATTCTACTACTTTGCTCTGTTTGCTGGTTTTAAACTAAGGATTGGAATATTTTACAGCAACATCTCTGGTGGTGCTTCCCAGAAAGGACTCTGGGTTTTTCTTCTTGATTTTCTTGTCTTCTGCAAAGCTCAGACGGGAGGTTCTTCCTGGGTGGACCTCGGAAGTGCGCTCCCACCTGCAGGGAGAAGGGGGGCGCCCCTGGAGTCAGGAGCACGCTGGGCTTTTTAGGTGCACCCTGGCAGCTGCTGGACTTCACGTCCAAAGAGGCTGAAGTGCTGAACAAAGAAGTTGCCAGGTTATACACATTTTCTGAAGGTTTGGGTGGGGAAAGGAACTAAGCCAATTTTTACCAAGTGACAGGATTACAGTTTTATCCTTGCGAGTCAACTATCAGGCGTTTCAAGACGTCAGAAAGTCTCCCTCGTCTTTATCGAGGACATGCAGCTTTTCAAGGGTCACAGAACTTTATTTACGCATTTTTAAATTTATCAGTCCTAGGGGAAGGTTAGCCTTGAAGGAAGATGAATTTCCGAGAACAAGACATCGCGGGGTCCTGCCAGGGGAGCCTTCTTGTTTACCTCCTCTGTTGTGGAGGAGGAGGCGCAGTTAGGGGCCGGGAGGGTGGAACCCAAGTAGAGAGCTGAGGGAAAGTAGGAGAGACTGCGCGCAGCAAGGAATGCCGATTTCCCTTCAGTTCTGCTGTAATACAACATGGCCAGAGTAGATGTCTACAGGTGCTCTCTGCATTTTCAGTGGCTCTTTAGCTAAATAGGAATAAATATCACCCGAGGTCCTCACCGGACCAGTGGAGACTTCCTGGGGCCCTGGGCTGTGTTCCTGCTGCTGTGGTCAGAACCAGCCCTGGGGTCCAGTCAGATTAGCCTGATGGCTGTCACCCGGGAAGACAGCGCACTGTTTTCACTTCCTGGCTTTTGCTTACAGTCTCCGATCTGAGGGAGCTTTCTTCTGCCTCCAAGTGTCACTGTTCCCCATTCTTTGCAAATAACAAAACAAAGCCACCTTCCCCAAATGCTCAGCTGCCTCTGGCTGACGTTCTGTGTAATGCAGTAAACAGTATTAGAACATACTTAGAATGTCGTCCTTTTAGAAACAAATGACCGGTATGTAGGATTGATTCCATAGCTCTGGTGATGAAATTTGTATTTTTTCTAGTAAAGGTGAATTTCTCTGTATCTGTAGGGATGCTGTCTGTAAACAGTCTACATACTTGCCTCTAGTAAGGGTCCCATTATTAAAGGAAGACTTAATTTCTGTTGTGTTAACATTTTCTTTCTGTAAGATTTACAATATAGTATATATTTTTGTCTAAAATGTTCACCAGATTTCTTCTGGCCAAGTAATACTACTAACACTATTAATAATAAACCACTTTCTTATCATAAGTAATAATCATCATTCACTCTAGTACAAGACAGCATTTCATCTAATAACATCTTTTAGCTAAATTCGGGTTTATGTATTCATTTTAAAAAGTTTTTACAACTTGGCATTAAGTTTTATGAAATATGTTTGCGATTATAATTGTAATTCTTGTCATATCCTGCTCCATCCCATTTATACACTATTCTCTTAATATTAAATGTTTTATATTTCCATATTTTAATGTTTGGTAAAATATGGAAATATGATTATAGTGGTACTGCTATAAATAATGATGCACTCAGTGTGCTTTGAGATAAGCTTTTGTGTCTGCTGTCAAAATGCACTTGCGTTTGATTTACTTACTGATGAGGGAAGTTTCCTGGGCTGTCCAGGAGTATTCTAGGTCTCTGTCTTCCTGGCCAGGCAGTCTGGGGGCCAGGCCCTGAGGAAGGCATGGCTGATGGCCTCTCTGTGTCCTCGTGAGCAGGTGAAGCTGCAGCTGGCCTTGGAGGCAGTGAGGAAGGAGGTGGACGAGGCGTCTGCCCAGGAGGTGACTGTGGGGAAGAAGATCGTGGTGTGGAAGGTAAGCTGGCCCTGGGCTCTGAAGTTCGATGGAGCTGGGCCCAGTCCTGCAGGCTTCTGTCCCGGCTGCTGAGCTGTTCGGGAGGGAACTGCGGCCCGTTCTGGTCTCCACCCTTCAGATCATGCTGTTCTGCTTCCTTCTTTCCTCCTTCCTTAACAGTGTTCACTGCAAATCACAAGTTCACTCTCTGAGCTGACCGTGAAACTCACTGCTGTGTGCCTGCCACCTGGTACTTAGAGGAATGAGCAAATTGTGCAGTTACGTAGCTCTGTGTCAGGTGGAAGAGAGCAGAGGGAGCCTCTGTCCAGGACGAGGATCAGAAACTGGAGGCTCCTTTTGGTCACCCATGCATTTATTCCTTCTTTTCTGCACACTACCAGCCCTTTTATCCTCTTACCTGTGTCATTTACACACACACACACTCACACTCACACTTACACACACACACATGCATACATGTCCTCATCGTTGGGTGATTTTGCCCTCTTTTCAAGGGCATTTTGCCCTCTCTGAAAGTTCTCCTCTGTAGCAAAGTACATGCCTTAGGTCTACTGAGAAATTTTGGCTGTTAGTTTTGAGTTGAAACCGATCAAATAACCTGAAGCTAAGTCCAAAGGAAGCTTTCAGGGTTTTTGCCTCTGCAGAGAACATTAATTAATCTTAGGGTTAAGGGAAGGGTTAGGTTAGGGTTAGCATAGGGTTAAAGTTAGATTTAAGACAAGGTTTAGGTTAATGTTATGACTAGGGTTAAGGGTTAGGTTAGGGTTCATTGTTTTCCTGTTTCGAAGTTCTGCTGATTTTCAAGATGTGGAGAAGTGCCCTGTGCGCCTGCCATTTGGGGCAGAGGTAGTGAACTGCAGAACACCCTACAGTGTGCTGGGCGGTGTCCACATCTCATGGGACTGTGAAAGTGTATGGAGAATCTGTGGATGCATTATGCACATAGTATATTACATGATTAGTCATACAAGAGGATATTTTAAAGAATATTTCTCTTTTTCCTTTCTTCTGTTAATCCATTGTTGTGATTTTTTGTATTTTCTAATTACTCCTTGTTTTCCTAAAAATGTAATTTACACAGTTGACTATTTTTATAGGGATTAAGGATGCTACATTTCTATCTTCTGGCCTGTGTTATCCTGCCCAAGTGCTCTGTCTGCTGGTAAAGTTAAACAGTGATTCATAATTTGTGTTATTTTTAGGCAAAAAATTCAAGTGGGTTGTTTTAAATCCTAGCCTGACCACATATTTATGAAGTCAGAATCCTGGTGTTGAAGGTTTTAAAAGCCCTCCACTGTTCATTCTAATACAGAGGTGATTCTAAGTCTGTCAGAGCCTTGTGAATGTGTATGGTGTTCACTGCCGGTGATGTGTCTCCGTGAGCCAAGTGCACTAAGCATGGTTTTGATAAACACGAGATCCGAATTTTAGCTGCCCTTTTTATTTCTGCAGATATAACAGCAGTCCTCAGAAGGTGGAAGAAGATTACAATAACCCTTTCTCCCTACTCCTCCCCTCTTGACCCGCAGCTCCGCTGCTTCCCGATGGCTGAGCTGTGAGCCTCTCATTAGGAGCATAATCTCAGTATGGGCAGCCTTGCCCATATTTCACAGTAGTTACACCAGTGAGAGAACACAGAACTCAGCATTGGCTGATTTTAGGAGGCCAAGATTGAGTGAATCTAGTCGTTTTGAAAATCATAAAAGGAACCGGGAATGGAAACTTAGAGGAAGAGTTTGAGTCGTAAGAGACTGAAAGAGGGTTATTTATTATTTGACCTTGAAACGTTGAACACCAACAGTCTGCCTTATTCAGTTAAACCAAGAAAAGAAGATTTGAAAACAAAGCCAAGAATCCAAGATGTAACCAGATTGGTTTGTAACAATTGCCCTGTCATACTCTGTTTTAAACATTTAAGTACAAAACCCTGTAGCAAAGTACTCTCCCTGCCTTAGTTCTACTCAGAAATTTTAGCTGTGAGATTGGGTAGAAACCAAGCAGATTTCTGCAGTTAACTTTGCAAGAATACCCTGAGGAGCTTTCAGAGTCTTCTTGGCACTGGGGAAAACATTGGCCTTGTGGTTGACTCATGATTACCACACTGTTAAAGAAGAGCTGTGCTTTCCAATGCCCTAAACCTTTTATCTTCGTATCTACAAACACTGGTCTCATTAGTCCTTTCTTCATTGCTCAGCTATTTCTGTGATGCCTGGTGACCAACAGTGGAAGAGTAGCTCTGTTGTGTGGCTACCCTATGCTGATCCCTAGGTTCAGATAAGCATGTGTTTAGCTGTAAGCCCCAAGTCCTACTTCTGATGTTTTATAGTTGATGCCGAACCTTGTGTATTAAGACGCCTCACCTCCAAGTCTGCAGCTATATCCAAGTCCCTGTCTTTCTCCAGCTCTCAGTTTCAAAACTTTCCCAGGACCTTTGATTTGGAAGGCTCCTGCATGTTGTTAGAATGTCTTCTCTCAGTCACTGGGACAGAGTTGAGGGACAAGGATATCACATTTACAGAGGGCCAAGGATATCAGAGACTTAGCCTAGTCCCCAGTCTCCTAAAATGGGTTATGGCAAAAGCTTAAATAAAAGGAGACAATGGAATACGGTTTTGGGGGAATCCAGGGAAGTCAAAATTCTCTGGGACACACAGCCATGAGTTTTCCAGATCACTGTATTTACCGAGTTTCTAAACAAAGGACAGGGATACTGAGGTAGGGGGGGAACCGAGCAGGACCCTGGGAAGTTTAGATCAAAGACTTCTTCAAGCAGTAAATTTTGTCAGTTAAGAGACCTGTCCTATCTGTAAGGCTGACGTTTACAGCAGGAGCCAAGTGGCCTCAGCTACAGTCTTATTTTATAAGTTGGAGGAAGAGCCAGGTGTTCTTGGGCATGTGGTCTTGTCTTGCCCTCCAGGGTGTCACAGTGTCATAGGCCGGTGTCTTCTGTGACCATTGGCATAGAGACCATGGGCACTTACTGCACGTCAGCTGCCCTCTTTCAACAAGTCTCCTAGGCCTGGGAGAGATTGATGGGTAAATACAGAAAGCCAATTGCTTAGTGTTAAATCCTGCTCAGAGCTGCCTCGTAGTGGTCTCCATCAGAAGGACATCACCTTACAGAGTGGAGGGCCAGGGACTTCACATTTACAAAAGGTCAGGAGATCACCTTACAGAGCCGAGGGTTGAGACAGCACCTTCTCCAGCTCCAGGCCCCACACATAGCATGGGACTCCCTGGCCCATCCCTGTCCCTGCTGACTGTCTTCTGTGTCCCCAGGAGAAAGTGGAGGTGCAGAGGCAGCGGTTCCGGCTGGAGTTTGAGAAGCACCGTGGCTTTCTGGCTCTGGAGGAGCAGTTGCAGCTGCGGCGGCTGGAGGAGGAGGAGCGGGCGACCTTGCAGAGGCTGCGGGACAGCAGGGCCCAGCTGGCCCAGCACATTAAGGCCCTAAAGGAGCTTGCGGAGGAGCTGGAGGAGCGGAGCCAGAGCATGGCCCTGCGTCTGCTGGAGGTGAGGAGCAAGGAGGTGACACACACTCGGCCCTTTGGAGCAGACTCATCATCTCCTCCAAGTTTATCGTATTTTTCACAAGTTCACAATTTCCGGTACTTTCTGAAGAAATTTTCATTGCCTGTCACAGTCCTCAGGCCTGACGCCCACTTCTTGCCTTGCAGGGTGTGAGCGAAGTCTTGAGCCGGTACGTCTGCTTCCTTCCTGACCCAGGCAAGGTTGGGACAGAGCCCATGGTGGGGGCACAGTCGATGGGAGCACACTGACTCCCGTGGGTGCTGTGTCCTTCGCAGAAGCAAGGCTGTCACACGGCTGGAACCTGAGGCCACACCCCTGGAGCTGAGGACTGTGTGCCACATCCCTGGGATGAGGGACATGATGAGGAGGTTCCAAGGTAGGGGGCCAGGTTCTGCCTGCCCAAGGCCGTGATTCTCTCAGCCACAGTGACCAACAGACCTGATGCCTTCACGGCCGAACTCACAGGGATTTGCAACAGGGCCCTGCAGGCACTGCTGCGCCACCTCCCAGTCCCCAGTCCCCTGCCACCTGCTCTGCCTCCTTCCTTGCTGGACATTATGGAATGCGGAGGAGCAGTTTAGAAAGCACATTACCTTGTCTTCTCTAGACAGTGCAACACACAGGGTGCAGACAGTCAGCTCTCAGGGATTCTTGCAGTGTCTAACTCACTTCCTTCTGTCACTGTCAACCCAGGGGCAGCATCAGATCTGACTGGGAGGGCCAGGTCCCTCATGGCTTCTCTCCTTTAAGGGCCAGGGATGGCAGGGGCAGGTGTGTCCCAACTAACCAGCTGTACAATGAGTTGCCCGCAAACCTTCCTTGGGGCCACTTGCTTTGTAGGGCAGCTTACAGAACCCCTCATCTTAGTCCTACATTATAGAGGACATCACACAGGTGTAGACCAGCAGCCACCCCGAGCTCCTGGGCTCAGCATCCTGCAGCTGTCAGTCCTTGTGTGTTTAGGGAAGCTTCCTGTGTAGACATTTTTGATGACCCATCTCACACCTGCCTGGAACCCTCTCGGGCTGTTTTTATAGCTGCAGAGTTTAACTTGAGGTAACACCATGTGCATTAGAATCCTAACTTTTTTCCAAGGCTTGGCATGAAATATCTTGCTGTATCATCACCGCAGGGCTCTTGTATGTTGGTAGTCTTCAGAACAGAGGATGTTGTTCAGCATAGAGCATGCTGGTTTAGTATTGCTATCAGGTCTGCTTCAGCCTTGGAGAGCACACTTAGGTAGAGGTGAGCGAATGCTGGTGGTAGGCTGGATGTTTTATTTTTTTAAGGGGAAATGCTAAGGCATTCACTGTCAGTTTACTGACTGAACTTTCTGTTTTTCTTTGGTACCTGAGGAAGAGGTTGGACTAGAAATTCCAAATGTCTAATCACTTGGTTGGGTTCCCTGGCTAGCAGCCCTATTCTGAGGCCTCTGGGGACCCGGGCACTGGTCATCTCAAACTCTTACCTCTCTGGAAGTACAAAGGCACTCCTGCCTGTCTGATGCTCCCGTGGTTTAGGGTTGAACAGGGTGGAGACCTAATGTCTGCTTCACAGTGGGACAGTGACTGGTGTGCTGCTTCTAAGAAATGCACACTGAGTGGACAGGAGAGAGGTGAGAAGAGGAAGTCATGAGTGTGTTCAGCGTTTTAGATCTCAAGAACTAACATCATAACCCAACACAGTGACTCACACTTGTAACCCCAGCACTGAGGGAGGCTGAGGCAGGGGGATCACAAGTTTGAGTCTCACCCAGGCCACTTAGCAAGGGCCTTCCTCAAAATAAAAATAAAAATGGGTTGGGGATGTAGCAAAGTGGTAGAGCACTCTCAGGTTCAATCCCCAGTATCAAACACACACAGAAAACGGCAACAGTAAACAGCCTGGCATCCTGAGGTTGCTGCTCGCACTGGTGAGGGAGGCTGCAGGTGGGGCAGGCGGGGTTGGCCTTGGACATCGTAATGACGGTAAGGCAGTGCTGAGTGCAGATTCATGCGCATCAGACAGGCAGGTGAGGTCACAGCTGTGGAGTTTCAGAACGGTTTAGCCAGAGGTTCGCCTTGTAACCATCTGGCAGAAGAGTGGAGCTTAATGAAAGCAGAGCTTGGTGAAGCGGATGACCCCGGAGAGGGTCAGCGGAGAGGGAGGAGGGGCCTGGGCCAGGGACACAGGTTCCCAGTGATGGTGGGGCAGAGGAGAGTGCAGTAGAAGAGACCAGGGAGGAGCAGAGACGGAGGGGGAGCGGGGCGGTGTGTCTGAGAGAAGGAGCCCTGCAGCCCTGTGAGTGCGCAAAAACAGGAAGTGCTGACAAGTGTCCGCGTGGAGGTCACGGGGGCGGGGGGGGGGCTTGAGTGGTTGTTGGGCTGCGTCCTGTCCCACCAGCGGCTGAGCCTAGGAGAGGAGAGGTAGGAGCCAGGTGACGCCTGGGATCCCAGCCCCCAGCAGCTGAGGCGGGAGGATCAAAGGTGTGAACCCAGCCTGGGCAACTTAGTGAGATCGTATCTCAAACACTTTTTTAAAATTTCATTTCATTTCATTTCATTTTGGTCTTTTTGAGACAGTGTCTCACTGTGCAATTCAGGCTGGCCTTGAGCCCACTTTGTAGCCCAGGCTGGTCTCAAACTCACAATGATCCTCCTGCCTCAGCCTCCCCAGTTCTGGAATTCCAGGCGTGCACCACCACACCTGGCGCTTCGAACACCTTTCAAAAAACGAGAGTAGAGGCTGGTGTTACAGCTTCGTGCAAAGGCCTTGGGTTCGGTTCAGTGAGACACACACACACACACACACACACACACACACACACACTCGCAGATGAGAATAGATGTTGTAGTAGTAGTGTATTTGTTAAGGCATCAGAAGTAGAAGTACGTTAGTGAGCTTATTGCTTTTGGACATTAATAGGGAGGAGTGCCCTCCATTGCCCTCAGCAGATTTGTCTGGGTGCATGTATTCATTAGCGGTCCGGGGTGCAGCGGTCTTTCTGGGTCTCTACTGGGCAATAGTAAAGTTGTCCTTCCTTTTGGTTAAGTGACAAATGATCACAGGTTCACATGCTTCTAACCACACCCATTTCCAGGCTCTCCCGCCCACAGAGTGGACATTCAGGCGGGGTCAGCTCTGTCTTCTGAGTGGGGATCTCTGAGGTCAGTCAGGGCCATTCCCAGCCTGGGTTGGGCTGGGAGTGTTGAGGGATGAGCCGGCTCCAAGGCTGCGGGTGGGTGGAGGTCCAATGGCTGAGTCCCAGATCTGCGCTGCTGTGAGCTCGGGGGCCCTGGCCTCCTCCTGTGTGACCCAGTGCTGACCCTCGCCCAAGCCAGCCATCCCTGGCATGGCTTGTGCTCCGTGTCAGTGCCGCAGCTTGCAGAGACCTTCGGGCTTCTCCAGAGCTGACTGGTGAGGACACGGGTCCCTGCGTGGCTCGCTCGGGGCCTCCTAGCTGCTCACAGCCTCTCCATCCCCTCCCACAGTGGACATGAAGCTGGACCCCACCACGGCGCACCCCAGCCTGCTGCTGACCACCGACCTGCGCTCAGTGCAGGACGGGGAGCTCTGGAGGGACGTCCCCGGGAGCCCCGAGCGGTTCGACACCTGGCCCTGCGTGCTGGGCCTGCAGAGCTTCTCCTCTGGCCGGCACTACTGGGAGGTGGTGGTGGGCGAGAAGGCCGAGTGGGGCCTGGGCGTCTGCAGAGACTCGCTGCCCAGGCAGGGCGAGGCCGCCCCATCCCCCGAGAACGGCGTGTGGGCGCTCTGGCTGCTGCGGGCCGCCGAGTACATGGTGCTGGGCTCGCCATCCGTGCCACTGCTGCAGTCCAGGCCGGGCCGCGTGGGGGTCTTCCTGGACTACGAGGCCGGGGAGATCTCCTTCTACGACGTCACCCACGAGTCCCACATCTACACCTTCAGCCAGCTCCTGTCCGGCTTCCTGCGGCCCTACTTCTTCATCTGTGACAAGAACCCTCTGGTTCTGCCCCCTGTGATGGAGGCAGAGTCAGGAAGCGGGGCATCCAGAACTCCGCCTGACCCCAGTGGTCCCGAGATGCCTCCATGAGGACTCGCTGCTGCCTGCGAGGTCCTCGGGCAGGAGGCTGTGGACGCCTGGGATGGCTGGGCTGCACGTGGGCGGCCCTCAGTGCCTGTGTCTGGGAAGTGTCCCCGCGGGACAGAGGAGGTGTGGAGGGTGGGAGAGGAGGAGGATCTTGGAACCAGCAGTCTCGTCAAACCCTCTTTCCAGATGGCTCCACAGGCGTTCTTGATGGACTGTCTTTCGTATTAAGGAAGCTACATTAAGAAGAGACCCTAAATATTCATTACAGCATCTCATTCTGTTTCCCATCCTTTCCTGCTCAGTATTTTACCCATTAAGGTTCGGACACAGCCGTTCCTCCGTGGGCTCAGAGCCGAGTTTTTAGAGGTGCCGTAGTGACCAGTCGGTCTCTCCCGGGCTCTTCCTGTCCCATTCCAAGAATCAGGTAGAATAGTCCATGAAAGTGAAGCTGAACATTGATTTAAGGCAAAAGAAGAAAAAGAACATAAGAGAACTGTTGAGGAAGGAAGTGCTCCAGAAAGAAGAGCTCCAAAGAGTGCCTCTGGGCCACTTAGAGCCAGAAAGGGGCCAGCAAGCAGGCCCAGGGCCAAGAGCTCAGGGACCACTGCCCTTGCTGTGGGCAGTGAGGGCCGCACACGTGCACTGCCCTTTCTGACGTTTGGTCTAAGCCATCCCATGAAAACCCCACTTGGCCTTCTGCTGCAAGGAGGTATCAGGTGCGGTGGGGAGCTGCTCCCCCACTCATGCTCCTGGTTCACACGTGCCTGCCGTGGACAGGTCACGCAGTCAGCCCCCCAGCCACACGGCCTTCGTCCCCTGCCTCTGTCTGACGCTATTCCAGACCAGATTCGTAACTATGGGCCTCCTCCTCTCCCCTCTTCTCTCTCCCCTCTCCCCTCTCGCAAGCTCTCCTCTCTCGGTCCCTGTCTCTCTGTCTCCCTCTCCCTCTCCTTCTCCCTTGATCCCCTTTGCTTGCCCTTTCCAAGGCTCCCGCCAGCCGCCCAGTCCAGCCCCGCAGAGCCCAGCACACACCTCCGCCCTTACCTCCTGCAGGAGGCTCTGTTCCCGTGAAGCACGCGTCCGCCCCTCATGCATTGTGCAGTTCTCTTATTTATTGTTTTTAATTTATTTATTGTGTACCTGTCCTTGCGTGGTAGGCTGTAAGCAACTTGAGGGGAAGGATATTTGTCTGTTGACTATACTGTTCAACATATCCTGAGCCCCTCGCATACGGCTTTCTATATGCTTATCTCTGAATGCACATGTGTTGAATGAATAAACAATGGCCACTCTGAAGGCGGAATTAAATGTAGATCTGAAAGTGTTTCTGAAATGTAATACAGACCGTGACGTTATTGGCAGTGGTCACAAGACAACTGCTGTGCAGTCAACTTTAAAGCCAAGTGCTAAATGAGTGAAACTGGCTTTCAGGTACGGAGATTGGAACCGAAGCTGGTTTGAAGAGGCGGCCGGTTCCAGTGCCGTGGGGACCGCTTGTGCTGGGGCGGCCCGCCAAGCCTCCTGTGGACCCCTTGGAATCACACATGGCTGCGCGTGCCCCAGGCTGTCTCTAGTGATGTTATGCTGGCTCCTTTCTGAACTCATTTTAATTAAAAGTGGCTCCTGGTTCTGTGTCCCTCTTCATCTGAACCATCGTGGAAGCCGCTCCCTGTACAGAGTGAAGTCTCGAGTTGCTTCCTCCCCAGCTCCTCCTCCTCCTGTGCGTGCACCCTGTTATGTTCTGGGCTTTTCCCAGCCACCCCAGTATTAATTTTATCCCCTCTGACCTATCCTTAAGCACTATGCCAGCAAAGACCCAATTCTCTTCTTCCTATAAAAAGAATTAAAAAGACCCGGAGGTCCCCTGGGTTTAACCCTCAGCACTGAAAAAGAGAAAGAGACAAAGAGAAAAAGAAAGAAAGGGAAAAAGAAACAGTAAAAGAAAAGGAAAAAGAGAACAATATAAAGAAATGAGCTCTCAACCTCCAACACTGGATTCTCCTGCCGTGTAGCTCTAGAACCTGTGCGTAGACGTCCCTGTGTAGAGCTCCATCTGAGCTCCCGGGAGAGGAGGGCGGAGCAGGATAACTAACTGCGGGCGGTGTCCTCTCCTGGGCCTCTTCCTGAACGAGTGACAGGCTCATCCGGGAGTTAATGAAGAGCTCCCCGAGATGGAAGAAACCTCAGGGGCTTCTCGGTGGGGCTGGCTGGGGTGGGAAATAAGACGTCCTGGTTAGCAGGGGAAGAGGAGCGCATTCAGAGGACTGTGGCTTCCTCGTCCCAGAAGGCAGACCTGGGAGCAGAGGGACTCGTTAAACCTTTCTGCACCCCGGCGGGGCCGGCATGCGCGATTTTGATTGCTCTGGGACGCGTGGGGCTTTGTTCCCGGGACGCACAGGTGCAGCTCTGAGCGTGCAGAGCCCGGGCCCCCTGTGCACGGGGTCCACCGCCAGGAGTGACCCTTGGTCTGTCCCTGCGTCCCAGGCCCAGACCGCCCTACTGGCGCGTCCCTGAGCCCGGTGACGCAAGCCCACGAGTTTCCTCTGTGACTCGGCCCTGCCGATGACGCGCAGGGACTGTCTCTGTGCATTTTTTACTTGGTTGCGATTATTTTGAATATTTAGCCTTGCGATGTTGCTTTTGCCTTCACAGGGGCATTAAAAACACGGGCACATTTTCCAAAGCTAGTGAGTTTGGAGCCCGAGATACTTGCTTCGTGTCTTCCCATTAGTTTTTGGCACTAAAATATGAACCCCTGTAGATGACAGCTTTCTCTCAAATTGAAAAATAAAAGCAGGCCATCCTGATACCTCCTTTTTAAACTTTTATTAATCCGCACATCAGCAAAGTTCTTTGTCTAGCTAGGACATCGGATTCTTGTTTCTCTGGAACTATACTTATTAGTGAGTTGTTAAGACATTTTTAAAAGCCCTATTTCAGGAAATCTAAGGAGAAAAAAGTGTCACCTGTTCTAGGGTCGACTGGGCCAATGACGCCTCCGCTGCTTTTTTAGCTGCTTAGCTGTCATTGGGACAGGAGGGAAGCACAGGGCCCAGGGGTGTTAGTGCGTCTGGAACAGCAGTGGACTGAGGACTCTGATTTTCCTCACATGCGGTACTAAGCACTTTCTGTATCAAGGGACAAATCCTCCTGGTCCCCAGTTTCCATGGTGACACATTGGGAGGTGAACATCTGAAGCGGGGCACAGCTCCCCCCTGCCTCAGTACCTGCTGATGACCCCGGGGGTCACAGAGTCCCCAGAGCTCGCTGATCGCCCTAGACACGGTCCCCCTCTCCTCAGGAGGGGGCATCGGCTCGCTCCTCTTGAGTACTGTTGCCAGTCAGAGAGAAGAGCTGGGAGCTCAGGAGGGGCCTGGTTCCCTACACGTCGGCCTCGCCCGGGCCACCCCTCTGTGCACCAGGAAGGACGCACACTGCCGATCCCAGACCCGCTCCGCATCTGCACACGCCGCAGTCCCGTTTTCAGTGGTTGCCGCCACCATGCGGGTGGATGTGGTGAGTAGGGCACTGGTTTTGGGGCTCATCTCAGAAATCTGCAGCACTCACTTGTTGATAAATAACTAAGCCGCCGGGGTATGGGGACCGCTCAGGGAGTGCTGGGGGTCTGCCTGAGGCCTGAGTTGGGTGTCCAGCACCACAAAACAAGACTGGGAGTGGAATTTGTCAGAGGGAAGTAAGGAAACCAAATCTGAGAAGTGAATTTTATTTTATTGAGAGAAAAAGAAGAAAGCAAAAGTTAAGAGCACATCATCAGCCTCTTGTGAGGGGAGAACAAGCTATCTTGTGCCCGGGATGGGCCAGAGCTGCCCAGGCCCTGAACACACAGATGTCGCTTCCCCTCATGCTTTATTTATGGTATTCACACTTTTTCTGGTTTCAAATTCTTTGATCTTCAAGACTGTGAACTAGTTTGAAATAAAATTTAAACTTTAACTAATTTTAGTTTTTATTTAAACCATTTTAGAAGTTTAAGATAAATTAAAAGTGCTAATCCTGTGAGCACCCGCACCCTCTGGAAGGCACCGCATCCTTCCCTGGGCGCTGGGAGCGCGGGCGATGTCACTCCAGCATCTGCTCCTCTGCGCGCAGGGACAGGTGCTGCCACCCTGAGGCGTTTCCTGGACACGCAGCCCCAGCTCACAAGGGGAAACCAGGTCTCACAGATAAACAGCCCCCTCCCTGCGGGACAGCTGCCCACTCCGCTGTCCTCAGTTCCCTGCGGCACCCGGTCTGCAAAACGCTCTCCCCTCAGCACCTCTTGGCCTCGCCCGTGTTGCCCCCCTGTGGGGATGCCCAGGTCTGCAGTGCCAGCTGATCCTGCCCTGCTGTGAGTCTCTGGAGGAAGTGGTCCCTTGGGCAGGAAGCTGGACAGGCACCAGGGAGTGCCTAGCTCACAGCAGCTCCTCCCACTCCTTCCTAATGAAGGGACGGGTGGCAGCCTCTCCACAGCAGGAGAGGAACACGGGACCCTGATGATCCGCCTGGCAGGCAGGAGAACTCCCCTAGTGCAAGGACAGATGCCTGGTGAGGTCACGGTAGTCGCAGAGGCCGCACTGCACGCCAGCAGGGGCAGTGGGAGCCGTGAGTCCTGAGCGGTGCTGGAGAGGATCTCTGCCGGAAAGAGGGAGAAATTATCGAAGTCCTCCCCACGTCTAAATTCAGAGGAAGAGGGTGTGTCCCTCCCCAGAACGTGCAGGAAATGAAGATGTCTCTCCCCTCTGAGAGTCCTCGTTCTCCTGAGCGGAGAGCTCTCGTGGGTACTGCGCTGCTGCTGGAGCGGGCAGGGCAAGTGCAGTCCCCCATCTTTTAGAGCCAGCCTTCATTCCCATTTAAAAATAACGCCTTAGCTCAGTAGCATCAAGTCTGAGCCAGTGTGCTCGCACACAGTGCAAAGGTTTCAGTAAGAAGGACCTCCAGCCCCAGTGAAATCCCAGAGAGACTGGGACAAGTTGTCTTCTGTGAGAGGAGCAAGGAGGCAGCCCCTCGCCGCAGAGCTCACAGGACGTGCGGCCGGAGAGTCAGTGTCCGTCTTCCTAGTGCGAGCCTCACGGCAGCTGAGAGGGCAGAGCCAGGGGCAAGTCTGCACTCCAGCTCCCGAAACCCAAACCCCTGTCCTGGGCTGGGTGGCAGCTTGCAGTGCCCACGCTGGTCTCATCTTAGCGATTCCGAGGTTGAGCACCATGACGGTGGGCCCCAGAACGTGTCCACATGCAAAGGTATCCTTGCGGCAGTGGGATGTGTATTTTGGTCTTTTTTGTTTTTTTCTGCCATCGTATGTTTCTTCCTACTTTTCTTCCTACGTCAGTTAATTTTGAGGAAAAACATGGCTGAGTGGGAGGGGCAGCTGATCTTTGGAAAGTGAACGGCAAAGCAAAAGCAGTGCGTCAGCAAGTGAGAACATGAGTTTAGGAGACAGCCTAAGCCCCAGCTGCTGTGTTCACACACTGATACAGGTTTTCGCGGCAAGGTCACTTGCTATTGCATTGTGAGGGGCCACGAGAGACCGGAGTCTTCCTTCACCTCCCTCGCCCTAGCAGTATGTGCTTCCAGATGTCTTTCTCAACACAACACAAATGTCTCTGTGTGTATAAACAGGTAGACGTGGGCAGAGAGTGGCCCCTCTGGGTATGCCAGCATGCATGGTTTTTTTTCGTTATTGGTAGGAAATTATTTTTTGTGTGAAATTCCAGGGAATTTCACATATTTATACTTATGCGAATTTAGGAATCTTTTTGTCAAATTTGTAGTGACACCCCTATCACCTCAGGTCCATGACTGTAAACACAGTCATCATTTCTGAGCTTGTCTCCTCTGTCTGGTGCTCCCAGGAGGCCTCTTGAGGGTGCTGGTCTCTGGGTGAGGGTGGAAATCTGTGGGCAGGTGTCTAAATGGGCAACCAGTGAGGCCTGGAGAAAAGCAAATCAGTTTCAAGGGTATGAAACCCTTTTTTTGTTAAAATAACCGGTGGCATGTTGAGATATGCATGTATCTTTAAGTAGGGATCTTTTCAGAACAGACTTCTGTAAAAACAGCATTTCTGGTTCACCTCACGTCACAGGATCACAGGCAATGAGCTCATTCCACACACTCTCAAGCCCTGAATTTCACAGCATTTTCCAGTTTGCAGAGAGACCACCTAGACAGCAAGCCTCTGTGTTGTAATGTTATATCCTTGCTCAGCAGTGGGAGCCTGCCTTACAGGTGAAGTCGGTTGTTTGTAAGTGATTTGTTTTCCTGTGAAATGCTTCTGTAAATCATTGCTCAGTTTTGTTTTACCTCAGGTGTTTCTTG